GAGGGGAAAGGCAGTCTCTGCATATCTACAGGCTTGAGCTGTGAGAAGGGTGAAATCCTTACACATATATCAAATGTTGTCATCTGTGCCTGCACAACTGACTGTGGGCACAATGCCATTCATGCATACCTATATTATAAATGCATATTACACATACTTTTAAGCATATACACAGGATATATAGACACACATCTTCAACACTTAAATTTCCAAAGCCAGACTGAATTTTCCTTGTTAAAAAAATCACAGGGGAAAGGGACTGCTTTTTATCTATCTCGCACCATTGCTCTCCCCCAAATCAGGTATCTTACTTCACCAGGCTAGAGCTTCAGAAACACTCTAGAAAAAAACAGAACACAAACTACCACACAATTGCACTCTGATGACATTTCTTCTGCCAGCAGCTCTGCTGGGATTGTTAGCAAGCCAACTGTTAGCACACAGTAAAGAAATACCAGTGCATGCCTGTGCAGCATGCCGGGCTCACAAGGCACAGTCCTGGATCCTGCCCTCCCCTACAGATGAAGTTCACAGGGGAAAGGGAATAAGGGCTCTCTTCTTCCATCTGCCCTGAATGCAGCAGCAAGGCAGAATTCCAACCTAGCACTCAGGAGAGTGCCAAAAAAGGGGACTGGCTACTGTGCTGGCTGCCACCCCAGGCCCCAGGGGTGTGAGGCCCGCCAGCTGCGGGGTGGAGCCGTGCCCCCAGCCAGTTCCAGCCTCTGCTGCTGTCTAGCCTGCTGGCTCAGCTCGAGTAAGGATCGCTCTGAGAACAGCAATAATGTGCAGTTCATCGTATGGTGCAGGTGTTCACCTTCAACTATCCCTATCCGTGCTGGCAGAGCAGCTCCTGAAACACACACGCCTGTCTTCCCCCTGCCACAAAGTGCAGCACCTATAAGATCCTCAGGTTAGCTTTATGCTGGAAAAGGAAGTGTTTAGGAAAGAAACGCTCTCACCTGAATACAGGGAGATCTCACCCCCCTCCTGTGCAATGATGTGATACAACTGAGGATCATAGAACGGTTTGGGTTGGAAAGGACCTTAAGCTTATCCAGTTCCAACCTCCCTCACCCTAGACCATGTCATCCAAGGCTCTGTCCAACCTGGCTGGCCTTGAACACTGCCAGGGATGGAGCATTTACCACTTCTTTGGGCAGCCTGTTCCAGTGCCTCACCAGCCTCACAGTAAAGAACTTCCTTCTATCTGCCAAACCGAGACCAACCTCTGCGACTCTAAATTCATTGATGCAGAAAGGAACCTAGGGAAGAACCAAAGGTCTCTGCACAAAAACCCCCAGACACAGTTATAATCAGCAGAAAATTCATCCCAGACAAGCTGCTGCTTGTTCACATTGAGGTCATGGTCCCTGTTCTGATGGGATAAATCCGTTTGGTAGCAGAGTACGGTCTGTGACCTCTTGTGAAGCTAGAGGGAACAGACCCTGAAGTCATCAACACTGTGGATGCAGGGATGAAGATGTCCATCCCAGCACAGAGCTCTGAGTGCTCAAACTGGCACCCCTGGCAGAGGCTGCCACTGGAGCTGATTTAAGTGCACTCAGATAATCAACCTGCCCAGTAATGCGGGAGTGGGGAGAAAAGGGAAGGAATAAATACCAGCTGTAGGGAATAACAAACTGCCAGGGGCAAGAATTTCTTCAGCTGTTCCTCAAGGCACTGTGGAACCATGAGTGTTTGACCTTGGTACATCTGGACAGGGTAAGACATACATATTTGTATGTCTGGACATACATATTTGAGGGGGGTCTCATAAGCAGACCATTTCCTCTGACTTATGCAAAAGGCACCAGCAATCTCTGCTTTTTAAAACTCAAGAATTTGTTTGGTTTGCAAATTTGTTTGGTTTGTTACAGTTCAATAAGACCTCAAACAGCAGAACTACTATTCAGTCCTATTAAATTAGTTCATTAAAGTGTATCAAAGGACTACAAACTCAGTTACAGACTACTGAACAGTATTTTGACCTTTCCTAATACTTCCCATATTAGAATCTCACTGCTGCCAAACACTGATTATTCTCCAAACAATCCCACACAGAAAAGGAAACAAGTGCATAGAAAAATTAAGGGACCTTTCTAGTACCACAAAGCAAGACAGTGGCCAAGCTGGTGATAAAACCTTGGTATCACAACTTCGTTCTGGAGCTGAACAACAAATTCAGCCTTTTTCCAGATGCGTCATATAACAAAAGTTGCCCAAATCCTAAAGCAAGATTCATACACTTAGATAAACCAAAGCTTTAGCAATTTCACATTCTCTTTTCCATTTTCATAATAGTTGCTAATTCCTTTGGACTTTACCTACAATGCATATGTTGAAGTGGAGGAACGTAATTTACCCTTACAGGTGCAACTACAAACTACCTCCACATGGGAAGAGCTTGTTCTTGCCACATCTTTGCAGCTAAGCAGGGACTACACTGGTCTTTCATCCCATCTGAAGCAACACAATCACATTAGTTTTCATATAATTCTTTGACCTGAAAAATAATCATAATTTTCCTCTGCAAACAGAGCGAGCTGTTGCCAGCTGTTGATCTGAATTTTTTACTGCTGTGCAACATCTTTTCTGCTTTGGAATGTCAAAATAAAACCTGAAAAAAAAAATGTAAATGCTTCACTGAGCTACAAACAATGAAAGAAGGTGTTCTGCCTGCCATCAAACCCCGCTGCTAAAATATTAACACAATGTAAATATTGTAATATTGAGGAAGTACACTGTGTCAGTACTTCCTGGCACCGCACAAGAGCTTCACTGTTCGCTTCAGTCCCTGCTGTTAGTTTTAAACACGCACAACTTAAACAAGGCATGTGAGCTTCTCCAGTCCTGGTGCGGAATTGCAGAGAGGCAAAATCCTACCGTAGGTTCCCTCTAGACTAAAAAACAAAGTATTGAAAAGAATTCTTAAACCCAAACAATTATGTGGATGTCAGTACTTTTGAGGCAAAAATATTCCACAGGGTCTTTCAAAAGTCCTGGCATACTGCTGCCAAACATGGAAAGATCTTTGGATATGCACTGTCCTCCCCTTCCTCAGGGAAGAAAAACAAGCTGCAAATGCCCACTGATGCCAAAAGCCTGAAAGCCCAAGTTATTCCTCATGGCAAAAGTCCCATTCCTCAGATTTGCCAGTTAAGCACATTACTTGCAATTGACTCTCTTTCACTTGCCTCAATAAGCAGCATGTGTGTAATAAGGAGAATGAAGCAGCTACTTGCCATTAGTAAGCCAGATGTTGCTATCAGATCTTAAGAAATGCTGTCTAGCTGCTGTAATTATGTATTGGTCACAGAAGTGCCACAGAAAAGCAGCACAGCTTGAAGAAACAGTGAGGACAGAGAATGACCTCTCTATAGAAAACAGGAAAACCAACTGGTCATACCTGCAAAAGGTCGGTAGACTTGCTCTAGGGAAACCTGGGGACAACCAGGAGAGTTCAGAGCAGGACTTCACTCTGCTGACTTTGGTTAATACAAGGCGAAATCCCACCACCGGCAAAGCCAAGGTGTCACCAGTTTCAATGGAAATAGCATAAAGCCTTGAAATCTGAAGTTACCACTATCTATGCTTAGAGGCCTCATTGTGTCACATACTGCAGCATGTCTGACAAAGGCTGTCCTTGTCCCACAGACATAATGATCTAAACTCAAACCAGCATAAAATACCATGGTAAAAAACCCTGGATGTGTGAAACATCTAATATTCCAAAAATGTCTAATCCCAGCAAAACTAGACCGGTAGGATTTCAAGAAATGAGTCCATGTTGTGTTATGAGACAAGGTGTAAACACTGCCTCATGCTACCACAGGAAATACAGGAAGTCCCAACTGTCACTGACTTCCTAAAATACGCTGAATTTGGTAAATCTAGTTTATTCCAGATTTGAAGAATCTGCTGCTCCTGAAGCTTTCTCACCTTTCACACATGTTCCCATGCACAAATGGGAAATAAAATGACTTGTACAGTGTCCCCATGTGCCAGTCAAAGTATCGGATAAGCTTTATTCTTGTGCATGCTAAGAAATTGCACTGGGGGTTAACACAGATTTTCCACTATATTTCAACTCACTCACAGCACTTCGTTCTGGAAGAGCTCCTTTAATCATTTATCCAGCTGTATCACTGTATTTGTATATGACGGAGACTAACACAAATCTCCCCTCCTCAGTGCTTTTTCACATGTCAATTTATCTGCTAAGGAAAAGCACTATGAACGCAACACTTAGCCTCTTTATCTTTCATCTTAAAAGGAGAGAAAAACTCTTGGGAACTCAGTGAGCAGTCAATATATGCAATGGGCATGAGAGTGCTGCAAAAAGTCTAGGAATAGGACATCATTCCAAAACTGCTTACTGTGAGAGGGGTGGTTCATTTGTTTGTTTTTTAAAGATAAACACAGTTTTTTTTTTCATCTGTTTCATGAAATATTATAGCTAAGATCCTTCTCCACTTCCATAAATGGATGTTTTTCTTACTCTCGGTGGGTGGTCTCAGAGTTTTGACAGAGGAACATCACAAGCTAAAAACATGGGATGCTACAGAGATAGCCCACCTGCAGTGGTGGTGGATGTGAAGGGGGAGAGAAGAGGTGATTGCAAAGGCCAAAACAGACTGTGGTGGGGGAAATCAAAGGTCAGAAATGTATTCACAGCCCTAACAATGGGGGAGCCCTGGTGAAACGAGCAGCCAAAAAACACAGATACATTAGGAAAAGGAGAGATGAAGAAAAGAGGCAAAAAAATCCCTTATGCTGTTATTAGATATTTTTTTTTTAAAAAAGGTCTGAATAAGAATCTCATACATAATGCTTGGTATTCCTTTTAGTGCAGTTAAAGCATTTTGAAAACTGCTTTCTTCCACATTTCTATTTTATGCTATTGAGTTTAACGAAACAAATCTTCCCTTAAAAGCTCTGGTATGAACCATATGTCAATGCAAACAACTGCTACGACCTTGTGTATTGTTTGGGTTTTTTACCTGTTTTCTACAAGGAAGTCTACCACGTATTTCTTCAGACAGTAGAGATGGGCATCCATCAGCCCTGTTCTGATGTGCATTCTGGGGTGCCTGGAAAAGAGAAAAAGGAAAATCATGGAGCTTTGCATGGCCATTTACAAGAGCTTGCCTTTGCACGTAGGTCAGTGGCTAGTGAAAAGTGTGCAAAGGCAGATTTGTTCCTTTACATCTACTGCTGGAATAAAGAGAACAGTGCAGGCTGCCATTATTGGACGGTGTCTATAAACTTACACCTGCTGGCCCTGGGCTGATCTGCTGTGAAAGAAAACACCTCCTCCAAGGAGTCATTACTCCTGCTACATCTTCTCATGTAAGTGGAAATTGCACATTACTGGGCAGGAAGCCAAAGTAATGGGCCCAGAGTGCTAAAAGTTACAGTGGGTAATGTCAGGGTACAATAATTCAAAGCTTTTGGCTAAGTGCCTGCCTTAATATGCAAGGCTGTGCTTGTTCTGCTAGCAAACACAACAACACTACTGTATTTTTTCCAACACTTCCTGGAGGGGAATAGGGGAAGGAGATGGGGTCTGCTCACCTTTCCTACAGTACACATTACAAATGACTGCCACAGCTCAACTACAAAGCATCTGCCTATCCAGCCCAGTGGGGTGGAAAAGATCAGAAAAGCTCTCACACATTGATAGGCAAACAACAGCAAATAGGGAAGTCTTTGCTTTCAGAGCAGTGGCAGGTTAATATTTCAGAAACTCAGAGATCTCCAATAGCTTCAATACTTTAAGAACCAAATTGTATATCATAAAGACTCATCAATTACTCCTATGCTCTTTATGGATTCTCTGCTCTTACGATAGCAGAACCCTTTTTGGAACCTGTCTTAAAGCAGATGGATATTTTATGCCAGTATTACTTTTCCTTCCACACACCTGTAGCCTCATCTGAGAGTGTTCTGGTGGTCTGAACACTCACCACTACTTCTCAGGACAGAAAAGCCATATTTAGATGGCTTAGAAGGTAAGAATATTTAGCTTGCATATTAAAAAAGACAAAACACAACAGTCAGGGACTACACTGGGCTGTACCTGCACTCACACTCCAGAGGCTATTAAGGACAGAAATTTTAATCCACACCTGAAATTGTCTCAGTTTTCATTTTTTCCTCCTTTGGTTTTTCTCCATTTTTCAGCGTATTTCTCAATTAATGCACTGAACTACCAAAGTATTTAAGTCTTAACATTTTATAATTGAGGTGGCTTTTCTCAAGCATATCATTCAGTTCAAGCTAAGCATATTAACTATAACAAATTCCTGAAGTCCCACTTGCAAAGGAAAGCTCCTATAATAGTAGTACGACACTTCGCAGAAAAGTATGTGGTACTAAAAAATGATCTATGCACTTTCAGTAGATTACTTCATTAACAAAACATGAGCTCACCTAGCAGTGCTCCAGTACTGATGCTATCAGTGGCCCAGATGTTGCTGTGGAAGTCAGCCCAAATAGCAATGTTCCTTATGCAAAGAGGTTAGGGAATCCACTAATTTTAATGAGGTCTTGCAGTTGGAAGTCAGCAGACTCCCTCCTGCTCTGCCTCCTGAGGATGGTTTCCACATTTTGTGTATTTATGAGGGGGAGAATTTTTATACCTTCTCTGAGGAAAAGAGCTCCCTTGTACTTATTTAACAAGTATAATAGTTTATTCAAAGGGGTGAAAGGGACAAATGGAAAGAAAAGAAGCAAGGATGCAAGCTGGGAAAATGAACAAAACAATGGAACAAGGCAAGAAATATGTAAAAAAAAAAAAAAAAAAAGGATGCAATATGGGAAGGAGAGGGGAAAATAGGAGGAAAAAACCCAGTTCTTAACTTGAAGATGACAAACAGGACACAGTTTCTTTAGTGCCAGAATGCCACGTTCTTCTCTCCCTACCCAAGATCTACCGCAATCCCCTTTAAACACAAAGCAGGGGAAGGCTGCAAGGGGCACATATCAAGCAGAAGAGGGTAAAACAAGAACTCCTCAATAAATGCCGGTTCTGCTGCCAGTGTCTGTGTGGCTTTCACACATCCAGTCTCCCCACCTGCGCACTGGAATAACGCTATTTAGCTACACCACAGGACACTGAGGATTTGAAGGCTGAAGTTTGTATCTGCATGCAAGTACTGCACCAAGCTTTTCTGTAGCTAAGCAACTTTATAAGAGTTATACAAAATCAGTGCAAGTGGATAGACAGTAGCACAGTGCTATCCTCGCTACAGCTCCATCACACACAAAAAACCCCCCACAAAACCCAGCCAGACAACAAGATGTACTGAAACACCACCCTGAGTTAGCTTTCAATGTAGAATATACTAACAATAATGGAACATCATGCTGGACAAGAGGGAGGTCCCACAATGAAAATCCTCTGAAGCACAGACCACCTAAGTGATTTGCAACAGAATAGTCCCATAGATTAATATTATAATCACAGCTTCAAAGGTCAAACAGGCAAGTTTGGGCACATGCATAAACAAAGCTGTGATTTCTGTAAACCAGACTGCAGGAGAGAATAGCCACACTAAACCAGACTGATAAGAGCACTCTATCATAACAAGCCACTAAAGATGATGCTAATTTTCATTGACATAATGCTTAAACCAGTTTATCTCCAGGTACAAGCAAAGGAACCAAATAATCTAACAGATAACAGCAAACTCCATCACCATTTCAAATGAGCATCTGGTTACTAATATCGAAAGCCACACTCCCTTCTCATGCCTCTGATCTCCCACTCCATCAGTTAATCTTTACAACATATGAAAAATGAGTCTGTCACTAGGAACAGCTGATACAGACAGAATCGAATAACAAACAATGCATGTGCTGAGAGCTGACGCACCTAAACTTTTCCCTCTGAGGGAGGTAATACAGGAGGCTTTTAATTATATCATCAAAGCAAGGGAGAAGGTACTAGGAGGGGCTGGCTGCAGATGGTTAAGTGTTAATGAATGCAGGGATGGGTGGTTTATCAAAAGAAAGACTGGATATGTATCTGAGAGGGTCACCGTTGAGACAAAAGTTGTAACAGCCATTGTCAGAGCTCTTTAATGAGCGAGGAATGTCAAATGTGAACCCTCAAAGAATCATACCAATTACTAAATGAACTTCGGTTCAATCTAGCAAATGTAATCAAGCACAAGTCATTAAAATACATGGTAAAACTCCCATTGGCGCTGCCACTATAGTGTCTATTATTGTCCGTGCTCCCATGCAAGGGAGGGGGCTGCTCCCAGTTGTAAGCCCTGTGTGTTATGTTAAGTGATGGCAGATTTTAGCCCTAATGACGAGGCATGGAGGGCTCCCTGGCAGAAAGTCGACAATGAGAAGGCTCAGAGAGATCTGTGGAGAAGTCAGGGAAAGATCAGCAATTAAAAGAGCAGTTTCAAAGAATGCAATTTAATGTGTAAAATTAGCTTTTATTAGCACATAATTCCACAAAATCCTGACTTGGGATGAGAGTGCATAAAGGTCTGCAAGAGTCCTTAGAAAGGTCTGTGCCCGTAATTCCTGACACGCCATTGTGAAATAATAAGCAGTACTAACAGGATTGATGCATGCTTCATACATGGCAGTGCTTTGAAAGTGGAGCCCGGAGCTTTTCTCTGCCTGATAACCCCTCTCAGGATTTCCTCCCTCAGGGAAATCAACCACTGATAGAGCAAACTTCCCTTGTTTAAAGGCAAAAAGAGGGACAATTGTTTCAACTGTAAACTAATTAAGAGAGATTACCACCAAGAGCTGGAGGTTCAAACCAGTCCTGCACTCCCACTGACAGTGTGATAATGCCAGGCTGGGGTCAAAATCATAAATCTGAAGGGAGCACACACAATGCTTAAAGCCAAAAAGCCTCTCTACTAAGCATGGGATATTGCCACATTAACCTCACCACCTCACAAATAAACTAGCTGAGAAAGAGAAATCCCATGGCCTCTTTCCCTTTAACTTCATACAGCTGTTGACAGAAAATATGAAGGTCTTTAAATAAGCTCAAGGACCTGAGGCTGTCTGTACTGTAACACTAATCTGGGCAATAACACAATAAAAATCCAATCATACCTGTTATTAACCTGGCTCCTGAACCAATATCTGAATTACATCCACCTGAATTATTAGTTAGTCTTCCTCCCCATCCCTCAAAACCAAGTAAATAACAGCATGCTAAATGTGAGCTATGCAGTCCATGCTCATTTCTTTTCTAATTAATTGCTTGTAGCTCACATAGTCCATGTAGCCAAACAGTCTACTGCATTCTTCCTATCCCTCACACTGTGAACTGTATTCTTGCATGAAGAAGCATGCCATCCAGTTCAAACACCCAGTGCTGACCCCTGACTGCCTGCATGGAGGTGGTGCTCTCACATTGATGCAGAGCCAGCATACAGATCAACACGAAGAGAAGTCTCACAGCAAAAGCTGCCAGACCACCTTTAATGTCTCAAGCATTCCTACTTTTAAAGGAAAAAAAAACAGTCTCTAAATCGCATTGCTCATTTACGGGACAGCTCTTGGCTGTAAGCTCGCTAATAATACAAGACCACTGTTACATTGGCTCTTCAGAAATCCCAGACACCTTATGACCTTAAGGTTTTTTTTCTTTTTCTCTCTCTCTACACAGTGCTTTTGGTCAAAAAGATCCCAAAGCACTCAGCCAAATGAATGTCCCCACTGTATCCCAGGGCTCCTTTGCCCACCAGTGAAATGCTGCCACCTCCGGGCTGATTTGCAGCAGCTGCATCAGTGCAAGCCGGGGCCCCACTGCAGGACCCCCTGCTCCTTTCTGCCCTGCACCCCTCCGCTGCAGGGCTCCAGAGGAGGGGGAGCACCGTTTAATTAGAGGGTGCTGCTCCTCAGGTGGTTCAGTACTGGCTATGAGGGATACCTAGGTGATGTGAGAGCGCTAGCATGGAGAGGAAAGGGAGAACAGAAAAGCGATAGCCCAAGATTTCAAGACAGCATAGGCTACTGCAAGGTGTCTTACAACATGACCATGACCTCTGTTTCCCAGTTCAGAAGCACCCCGTCGCTGTTTCCCTTCCTGCAGTTCTGTTACAAC